GCATTGACACACCCTTTTGCAAGCCTTGTACAACTCGATCAATTTCATCGCAAACGAGAGACCCAAGATCACCCCCTTGTACCAGATAACCTGAACGATTCAAATCCAAGGTCTACCATGAGCTGGTGCATGACCTTAGCTATGTCGGTCTCATAGAAGCCACGCGTTAGCGGCGGTGTTGACGAGAAGGCGTAGCCTGGGAGGGAGGGGACGATCAGATGATAAGGGAGGGTTTGAGGGGTGTATTTCTCCCGCATTAGGGTGAGGAGAGGAAGGAATTCGAGGAAGCTGCCTGTTTGTGAGAGGGGACTTTGTTCAGTTGTGTGTGTGTCTATTTTATTCACCCCTCTGGATATCGACTCGTTGGATACAATATATTCTGAGATGGAAGGGATTGGACGGTTGAGTTTGTATATACCTGGCCAGCCATGGAGCAGTGCAATGGGGATCGCATCCGCTCTCTGAGAGAATAAAGCGACGAAATGGATTTTAAACTCCTCATTCTCATTCCCGGCGGGGAGATCGACCGTTGCCTTGAAGTTGGGAAATGAGTTGATGAACTCCTCGTTCTTCCTCCTGCGGTGCACCGAATTTTAGAATTGCCACATATATACTGATGACATCCCATTAACTCTCCTCCCCCCCCCTCCCTCTCTAAAGTGAATCCATGACCCATCTCCAACGGATATATTTCCCAACCTTTTTTCTCGGACCTGAGAGCTTGATCAAAGAAAAGAAGAGCAGCATACCAATCAAACTCCTCCTCCCAGTACTTCTTCGTTTCCGTCAGCCACTTATGGCTAATCCCATACCTCCCATCTTCCTGCAGACTCTCATATGTCGGTGCGGGGATCTTTGACAGTTTTAACAGCGTCTTGAATTCGCTTAGCTGCTGTTCGGGGATTGCGACATGGAAAATTTCTGGGGCCTTGAGGGCCACGGATGGTACGGTGCTGTAGCTTGCTGCCATTTCCCCTTATTCTTTTTTTCTTCTTCCTCTGCTTTTGAAGGTCCTCCTCGGTTAAAAACTCTTTTTTTTTTTCAATTTTCTTTCTCGTAAATTCGTATAGTCATTCCTCATTTGCCGTTTGTGTTCTAGAATGATAATTTATAACCTTATATCTGTTGAGCGTACCTGTGGCTTTGATAGTTAGTTCCTTGCTGGCGACCATTAGGCTCGTTGGTGGGGGCGGGGCTTTCTGGTCCTGAGCATGATTTATGTTGAGTGCAAGGATAGTGCAACTAACTGTGCCAAGCGCTACTCACTACCATTAGTGAGTGCGCCACAGCATACAGAAAACCACACCGTACGGAAAATATTATGAATATCATCAATCTTCATTCTTTAAATATTCATTAATCATCATCATCATGTTTAAATCTTCCATTGCAAAATGTCATTGACATGTTTAGAAAGAATCCAACATTAAAAATCACATTCCTGTTGTTGACTCGTAGACTGGCTGTGTGACCTTGCATGGGACTGGGACTAAAATATTTCCTCAGTCCCATTATCAAATATCTTAGTCCTGGTCTCATAAAGTGTTTATTAAATTAATCACTTTACACTGTTTATATTATAAATCTAGTCCCAGATCATGTTTTTTCTTATAAATTATTGATTCTGGTCCCATTTGATCCCATTTTTGTAAAATGGGACCAAATGGGACATGATTTACCATATATAGAGGATCCTCCTACAACTTTTCTATGTTTCAAGCTGTGTTGGGTGGAATTTTGCATCATGAACTGCACCTGGAAAGCGTTAGCAGGACTTCAATCTCGAAGAGGCAACACAAAAAGGGGGAGGAAGAGGGGAACAGACTTAACCAGCGTGATGCTCAACTATCCATTTACCCCGTCGAGAAAGTCAAGTGGCTAGAATTCAGGAGAGGGAGGTTTCTGTGGTTCGGGAGACAATAAGTTATGTTATTCACTTGGGTATCGAAGTTCAAATCAGTGTTGCCAGCTGCAGGGTTTATTGAGATAGTAAATCCCCACGCCCATAGCTAGCTAACACCATACACACATTTATATATATGTCATCGATCAAAATAATAAATAATGTAAAATAAACACCAAACCAAATGTGTAGTCAATATAAAACATCATTATCCATCCATATTAGCATTAGCGTTAGCATTATTATGATTGCTGTTGTTAACCGGTTGAGCACCCAGCATCCACCCAAGCCCACTGGCCAACCCGCCGGTCACCATATTACTAACAACATCCCTCTTCCTAACCCGTCCACCCGCACTTCCCTCGCCACCACTTCCGCCTCCCGTACCCATGGCATCCATACTAATGCGTCTCGAATCACTTGAAACACCACTAGCAGGAGAACCAGTCTCAGAGCCACGAAGCGGAAACGCGGTTTTGCTAATTGCCTGAGCCGCGCCGCGCGCCACTTCAAATAACCCCATGGGCGCCTCTTCATACCCGCCGGCCAAGTGGGATGTGCGTTTGGCCTGCCCCGTCCGGAACCACTTAGCTCGCTCTGTTTCTAGAGCATCGAGTTCAGCATCGGACGGGCCGAAACCGCCTGGCAAGGTTTTTGAGCTGGATGTGATACTATCCCCCCGCGCGTCCCAGTTTTCGGCCTCTGCCGACTCTCGCGCGCGGAGGGAAGTCATCTCTTCATCGCAGCGGCGCCATACGGCAAGGATCTCTGGGAGGTTCTCGGGTGAAGGTGTGAGTATTAGCGCTAGAGAGAGCAGTTCCATGCGTTGGGAAAGGTGGAGGATCTGAGATTGGAGCGGTTTATTAGTTGATTCCGAGACGTTTGAGCGATGTCGACCAGCATTATACGCGGCACGCCATGATACATCATCGCCTTTGGCTATCGCAGTATTTGATGTTATTGATGGTGGAGCCAGGCGTGTGAGAACGTAGGAATATGCGGTATCAAAATCATTGGCTTCTAGAGCAGCGGAGATGGAGAGTGATATGATTCGATGATCTGAGGCTAACAATTCTTCTTCGCGAGACGGGGTTTCTTTGTTGTGTATTGGCTCATCGCCGCCTCTGGGACGTGCGGGAAAGCCTGCGGTAACGAGGTGTCGGGCAATTGTAATCAGATTATCGAGTTCTGTGTATGCTTTGGGATTTTGCTCGAGGACTTTGCCAATTAATGAAAGGGGATCATGGTGCACGCGGATGCTGACAGGTTGGAATGGGACTCCATGTTGCAGCGTCAGGGAATATAATGATAATGAATGCGTAGCGGATATCAACGCCCTGATTTGGTGAAATGTTTCAGAGTGTGGGAAGTAAGGTCCAAATGACTCGAGCCTATCATCAAAGTCAATATACTGTTAGGCATGGCCAAGGGAAGCAGATATACATTTCTGAAGCTCGCTTTATCCCGCCTCTCGTTTATTTCCATTAGTGGCATTGTCGTATGCCGCAAATATTGCCTCTGTCACTGCAGCCTCAATTTGTGCTGGTGGGAGTGGGGACGAGGTTAGGGTATTGGCGTAGATCTCAACCGCAACCTCGTATTCTACGATTGGTTAGACAGTTAACACCTTACTTTTAGAGGGGATAAACACTTACGTCTTGCATTTAACATAGTTTTCAATATTTCCCCTTCGAGGAGAACTAGAGGAACGCGCCAGAAAAGCCCATGGCCGGGAATGAGTTTCGCTTCAAGCTTCTCGAATTGATCAGAATAGCCCCAGTCTCTCAACCAGAGTAGCTGTAGCCTGACTTTCTTCCAGTCACGTCCTGTTTTATGGTCCCGCTGCAGGGCTTCAACAACAGAATGAAACTCTGAGAGCTGCATTTCATCGCTAGCGAGTAGACAAATATCCGCAGCCGCCCTGCATGAAATTGCATGGCCGAAGCCAGCCAAAGTACGAATAGAAACAAGAATGGCGTCAATGAACGCGATTGACTGAGTAGTGGGGAATGTGAGGGGATTAGAAGGCTCTAGCAGAGCATTCTGGAGAATGGCGCCTCGAGCAATATCGGAAAGGCAAGTAAGGTCGAGATTGAGAGGCTCGAGATCATTTTCAAATATGCGCAGGACAGAGTGACCAGGAATCTCAAGCAAGGACGCAATTCTGGATACAACACGACAGGATCCATCGAGGGTCTCTGGTGTAGCTACTGTGGTCGCATAAATAGTAGCAAGCGCGGCTTGACCGTAGTTGAGAGAAAGTTGAGTATCGCCATTAGATAACCCCAAACCTTCCGACTTATTATAGCCGCCAAAATCTATATCGTCCGGACCTGACCATTGTTCTACAGCTTCCACTGCCATGGGAAAGTCCCTCATGCTGGTCGACAGCAGCCACTCGTTAACTTCTTGCCATCCGTCTCTTTCTGACTCAGACGAAGGTTCTCTGTTATCAAATATAGCAATTGACCCCGAACGCTCAAGTTGAGTGAGTTTCCGTCTTTTCGAGCTCGCATGACCGTACATCCATGGCCCTACCAGACCCCTTAAGTCTCTGCCTACATCCCCACCCCTATTCCGCGACTCAGTCTTTGACAGCAAGATGTTGACCGCGCTTCCTGAATCCAACGACTGTATAATGTCCAAAGATAACTCAACGTCATTCTCCCAATGGTATTCATAATTGAATCGAAGTAGAGGTAGCGCGGTCGATATGACCCAGGTTTGCAGGTACTCCGAAGTGTGAAGGAATGGCTCCAGTAGCTCGATAATAAAAGGCTGTAGCCCCGACTCGTTGTCTATTCTGTGCGCTCGATGGATGAGAAATTGAACCAGTGGGATATCTGGTTCGTGTTCTGCATGCCCGGGGTACCGGAGCGGTAGAAGATGTAGTCGTTGGACCTGTTTCCTCGCTGCAGATGTAGGCAGCTGTCCAACTGAAGCAAGATCCAAATCATCATTTCCATCCTCTGCGGGAGGTGTGGATCCGTTGACTAGGCTCTCAATAACAGGGGTGTATCGGGAAGGCTCGGTGCTCTCAGGCAGAAAGGTCAAAATAATGCGGAGGAATATATCGATGTTATCGCCGCCATGGAAATGGGACTGTAAACGTGGCAATGCGGACACATCGCCGTTTACGCAGAGCTGAACGGCAAAGACGATGAGATGGGCATCGGACAATTCTGCAAGGGATTTCATGGTGGTGCTCTTCTCATGGCGAATAAGAGCATTTCAAGCAGTTGCAAGAGTGCTTGCGCACAGAATCATGGTCAAGATGAAATCAATGCGTGGGTTGGTGAGGCTCTTGGTCAAAAGCTCGGGCCAATCGTGGCTCGTGCTGGCAACAAACGACGCATTTCCCCGAACAAGAGCCTCAACTCCGCCAACTGCAACTTCGTCCAGTCTCAAGCGCAAGCAATTTGCTATCCACCCCCTCCGCGATTGAAGCTCCAATTGGTACTTAAAAATGGCATCAGGATATGGCCTCAATGGCGGTATGTATCAATTTTTATTTCGACAGATGCCCACTCTGCCCTTCCCTCCATTTCCCACCTTACGAATCCCGTCCTCCCTTCGTGCATGGGTTGCTAACTCCTCAAACTGACACCGAATCGTCCATCCAGGCCCGTCCCGCTGTTTCCCCTTCTGGCAAGAACTTCTCGGTTGCTACGTAGTTAATGCTAGCGAAGGCGATGCCGGAAAGAAGAAGTGTGTCCCAGCACTAGAGGATTACCATGAGTGTTTGCATCACAGAAAAGAGGTAAAATTTCCCGGGAACCGCTATCATCGAGAATGTATCCCACGGGAATATCGAGTCCGTGTTGGCAAAGATGAAAATGATTCTTGAGGGCTAATGCAAAACAAAATGGCTGGATCTAGGCTGCGCGAATGCGGGCGATGCAACAGGCATATCGAAAGGCGGAAGCGGCACATCCCAGAGAGAATGCGCCAAAGGCGGAACAGATACGTTCGTTAGGATTATTAGGCAAGGACGAGGAATCAAAGGCAATATTGGGGGCGCGATGAGCCCAGGTATTGGGGATGAGACAATTTTTAGCATGCGTTGAGGAGGCATTTTTCCGTTACTATATGTACTAGTCTCTATACCTGTTGGTTTTTTTTTTTTTTTTTCTCTTCTCGTTTGCGGACTCCCATTTCGTGCCTTTTCATCGTTTCTAAAGGTCCGGGGCTGGGGCGGGAAGAGTTGCATGGCAATGCAAAACGCACAATGTGATTTATGTATTTTCACTCTAGACTTTGAAAAACATATATGACATCGCCTCTTTCGTCCTCTTGCAAATGTATCATCATACTATTTTGCGTTGGCGTTTCTTGATATCCCGCGCTTTTTTCCCTGTCTGTTATCTACATATCTACATATTCTTGTTGCAAGCAACGGGTGACTTTGCTACGCAAGAGTTCCTCATCCGAAAAGCTCGCAGGATACATGAGAAATTGTCCCGTATATTCCCTCCCCCCCCCTTGTCTGATCTTTTCCTTGAAATGACAAATCCGATTCTCAGTTGAATAGCCCTAGATTTCTTGATTTATTTGATATATACATATTTTTTGATATTTTGGTAATGGCAGTTTTCGCTCAAATTCGGCGATGATAAAATGTTCCCGGAAGAATCAGATGACGCTTCTGTTGGTCCACTGTTTAGCAAAAGCCAGTCGCTAAAACAGTGCAATCATTACTCAGATATTTGGGTCCGAATGCAGGTTCAGCGTTGAGGTTTCCAGAAGAGTCGATCTCCTAAAGTTGACTATGACGTTGACATACTGAGATACATTGTTCCTTCCCGGAAATTATTCCTTGGCTGATAGTCGGTGAATTAAAGTATTTATTGAATATTTTTGACCCTACTCCGTAGATGAATAAAGATTAGATTGCTTCGAATTATCTCCCCTTGAGAGTTGGACAACTACTGCGTATTTAAGCTCTTGGTTAGTGCAAAACGAGACCACAGGAAATTTTCTCAAGAGTGCCCATCAAAAGGCTAAAAACAGGAAATGTCTGTGCAGCAGAGTGCATTGGTCGCGCCGCGTACCGGGGCCACACGGGGGGAAAGAGGAGTAAGGGGCTGCCAGACCAGAAGAAGAGAGAAGAGAGTTGGGGCTCCGCGAGATGGGCTCAGTGGGAAGATCAGCCTCGGCGAAAAAGCGCCTGCACTCAGATCTGGGCAACGTTGGGCAGTTTTCAAGCCGGCGACGCCTGCTGGACCCGGTGCAGCGTAACCCTGTTCAACAGCCTCAATTTCGCGAGTGCCGAAAGCTAACGGACGCCTATGGTTCATGCCTCCATGAATAGCAACCCACAGTATTACCAGTATTACCTCCCTCATCCTACGCTTTCTCTCCCTGGCAGATACCGGCGCAGTAACAGCTCATCCTCGACGGTCAATTAATGATCAGCAAAGAGCCGAGAGGGGATTAGGGTCCAACATCACGTGCCGCGCTACACGACGCCTCGTTCCAGGGATTACATGCCGCTATGCTGCAAACGGCAAACTTAGCGAGGCGTAAACATGGGTAGGCGCGCTGGCTGGAGGACTGTCCCAATGATATAAACATCCAGCGCGACCTCGACAAATTTTCTCTGAAGCTCCACACCCCCAATATCGCCAGCCCGACAGGCCAAACTCGGCCAGGCCTCTTTTGCTGCTTTTACTACCGCCACTCCTCTGCTGCTTGCTGGTGGTGTTGCAGCTCCACTTCGCTTCTATACTTGGTTTTTTTCTTATTTATTTTATTTTCCCCAAAGAAAACGCCACGGTTGCAGGTCTCAAATAAATAGAGACACATCACTACACTAATCATAATAATTTGGTTTTTTTTTTTTTTTTTTTTTTTTTTTTTTTTTTTTTTTTGGCTTCTACTGTGTTATGATGGGTATTGTGACGGGTTGCTCCCTGACTGCGACAACTACCCCTACTGCCCCTACCGCCCTTACCGCTCGCTCTCCCCTTATATTTTTTGCTATTTTTGCCTTCTAGTCCCGTGACTCGCCATGACCTCTAGGTACCTGCTTCCACCAATCACAATGGCATTGAACCACCGACGCTAATGTTCTTTTGATCTAGGCTCGACCGGCTTGTTACGTGAGTATTTTCCATTTTGCCGCTCTCTTTGTCAGCCCCGATGGTGAATCTGACCAATCACACGCCCAACACAGCCTCCTGGAGACAGGAAGTACACCCCTTATCAGAAACACTGCGGCTCAGCAGCTTGCGGATGTCCAGAAACAACATCCAGATGAACTGTTCAATCTGCTGGGTCGAATCTTGCCATATCTGCGGTCGAGGTCATGGGACACCAGGACTGCAGCTGCGAAGGCAATCGGCGGTATTGTCGGGTATGCTGAACGTTTTGATCCCAATGCTGATGAAGGCCTCAGTTCCGTAGAGGACGAGGTTGTTGGAGATGAAGATGTACCGTCAACTGTCAAGAAAGAAGAACACAGGGACGCAGCGGAGAACGCTGGTCCTGAAGACCTTCTCGACTTGGACTCCCTTGATATCAGCTCAATCCTGAGGTTTGGGCACAAGCTCTTGGGTAGCGCGGGTAAGGAGTATGAATATTCTTTTGCTGGATTGGATGCGGCCTCTCGGCTGCAGCACCAGAAAAGGACACTGTCGTCGCGCTTAGGTCTTGGGGGGGAGTATATGGAGGAGGATTTAGTCAATGAAGCTGATTTCGCTTCTCAACCATCGCGCAAGGGCTCTGAGGCTAAGCTCGAGATTGCAATCCCACCCCCCTCTCGCAAAGGTAGTACGTTCAGTAATCCGTCCCATTCCATGGCTTCCCCACATGACCCTATGCAGGCGACTCCCACCAACGGAGATGACCAAGGACTCAGCAAACGGCAACTGAACCAGCTGAAGAGAAAGAATAAACAAAATGCCAAAATGGGAGCCAATAAAATCCGAGTCGTCGACCTGGCTGTCCGGAAGCATCCTGATGTCGTAGCTACACCTGTTACCGCTTCCACACCGCATGCTATCAAAAAGGAGGAAAATGGCGATGAGAGCAATGGCGACAAGAAGATGGATTATTTTTCGCTGGAAAGGACTGAACCAGACGATGATAGTAAAATCGTCTCCGAATTCAAGGGTCCCATGGTGCCCGAGAAACCTCCAATTCAAACTGACGCGGAAGAAGAGGGTTTGGAATGGCCCTATGACCGCATGTGTGAGTTTCTGATGGTTGATCTGTTTGATCCCAGCTGGGAAATTCGCCACGGTGCAGCCATGGGTCTGCGAGAAGTCATCCGTGTCCAAGGAGCTGGAGCCGGGCGGGTTCGTGGTAAAGGGAGACGCCATAACGACGCGCTCAACCATCAGTGGCTAAATGATTTAGCCTGCAGACTTCTTTGTGTCTTCCTGCTAGATCGTTTCGGTGACTATATTTCGGATAATGTAGTCGCCCCGATCCGTGAAACTGTCGGCCAAACTCTGGCTGCTCTTCTATTACATTTACCCTCCAAGTCTTTGATTTCTGTTTACCGCATCCTGTACAAAATGATCATGCAAAATGATCTCGGCCTCTCTAGTCCTATATGGGAAGTGTGCCATGGCGGTATGATCGGACTAAAGTATTTGGTCGCTGTCCGGAATGACATTCTTTTAAAAGAGCCTGAAATCCTTGACGGAGTTATCGCTGCTGTGATGAAAGGATTGGGAGATCATGACGACGATGTCCGTGCTGTCAGTGCCGCTACATTAGTTCCTATCGCAGAGGATTTCGTGAGGCTTCGACCGGGCTCGCTACACCCCCTGATCAACATTTTGTGGGAGTGTCTCTCTAACCTCCAAGATGATCTCAGTGCTAGCACAGGATCTGTTATGGATCTGCTCGCCAAACTCTGCACGTTCCCAGAAGTCCTTGAAGCAATGAAAACAAATGCTGCCCACGACTCCGAATCATCCTTTGAAAACCTTGTGCCGAGACTCTTCCCATTCTTACGACATACCATCACGAGTGTGCGATCCGCAGTACTTCGAGCTTTACTCACGTTCTTAAAACTTGATATCGAAGGGCAAAACGCTTGGGCTGACGGGAAGGCAATGAGACTTACCTTCCAAAACCTACTTGTTGAACAAAATGAAGGCGTTCTTAAGCTGTCGCTCCAAGTTTGGTTTGAGCTGCTGCAAGCATTGGAAGACCGTGGTCTGTTTGATACTGATGACGAACTCTTACCATCTCTACAGCCGCTTATCACGGTAACAATGAGCCCTTTTGGCGTGCCACGATACCCTATCCCTATGGATATTTCTCTTTTCATTCGCCCATCTGGGTTACCATACACGTCCGCTGGCGCTGTTCCAAGGAAGTCGTCTCCCACCAGTACAGCCTCCGAACCACCTGCGAAGGGCCGAAGACGGAAGGCCGAGAAAAAGGATATGACAGCCATTTTCACTCATAATGTCGATGGCCACATGTTGCAAGGTGACATTGATCTCGTCGGTGTCGAAACGGTTATTAGGTCAAAGATTTACGCTGCAACTGCTTTGGGTCGACTTTTGTCCACTTGGGATAGCCATGACCGTTCAAATCTGTGGGAGACCATTTTGCCTTCTCTTAAATCTCCTGGCTCGACTTCGCAGCTAGTGGCCGCAATGGTCGTCGTTGAGTATGCGAAAATCAGAGGCCCAGAAACCAAATACACCTCTCTGCTATCACAATGGCTAAACTCGGTGATTGAAAATGAGAGGCCATCGTGGTATAGCGATATAGCCAGCTATTTACATATTGCTCGTGCACAGTGTCATTCCCTCCTCAATGCCTTTAGAGACCATGCTCACGTTTCACAATTCTCCCTTCCCATGCTGGCAGTCGTAGTCCAAGGAGATCAAGACGCCGGTCCCAATGCCTTTTCCATTTTGGATGCCGAAAAAGTTCTAGGGCCTGATTTTGAAAGACTGAAAAAGAGCCTTTCCCCAGCACAGAGAATGACCGCGCTTCAGGTGCTCAATGATTCACGAGCAAGTGCACTAACGGCTGTTGAAGAAGCTAAGGAAGTTAAAGAACAACGTGATATGCGAATTAGAGCCGCAGCAGCAAGTGCGCTTGTCGCTCTTCATGACATTCCCAAGAAGCCAAGCCAGATTATCAAAGGGATGATGGACAGTGTCAAGAAGGAGGAAAACGTTGAATTGCAGCAGAGATCTGCGTCAGCTGTTGCATCACTTGTGCAGTATTATACGAGTTCCTCCAAACGGGGCCCTGTGGATAAGGTAATTGGGAATCTTGTCAAGTTCTGCTGTATCGATACTTCGGAGACACCTGAGTTCCATCACAACGCAGGTTTGGAAACTGCAATTCTATCGCTTCTTAAGGAAGAGGATAAGAAAGACCCCGTTGACGCTGCGAGATTCGAAAAGGAGTCCCGGGATGCTCGTATCATGCGACGAGGTGCCAAGGAAGCATTGGAACAATTGGCAAGTAGATTTGGTGCGGAGTTATTGGACAAGGTCCCTAACCTTGCAAGCTTGATTGAAGATCCCTTACGGAGTGCTCTTGCTGGTGATCTTCCATCCGATATCAAGGACCCTGACAATGGAATTGGTCAGGAAGTCGTTGATGGATTATCGACGCTGCGAGCACTTGTCCCTAAATTTCATTCTGGCATTTATACCTGGATTATGAGCCTTATGCCCATCATTGCAAAATCTCTGCAGTGCAAACTGTCTGTCATCCGATATGCAGCTGCTAAATGCTTTGCAACTATCTGCAGTGTTATAACCGTTGAGGGTATGACAATGCTTGTGGAGAAGGTGCTGCCCAACATCAACAATGCGTTGGATGTCCACTGTCGGCAGGGAGTCATTGAGTGCATCTATCACTTGATACATGTCATGGAAGATAACATTTTGCCTTACGTTATTTTCCTTATCGTCCCTGTTCTTGGACGAATGAGCGATTCTGACAACGATGTAAGACTCCTTGCCACAACTGCCTTTGCAACACTGGTCAAACTTGTTCCTCTGGAAGCTGGGTTACCAGACCCACCGGGTTTATCCGAGGAGCTCTTGAAAGGACGGGATCGGGAGCGGCGATTTATGGCCCAAATGCTCGATGTCCGCAAGATCGAACCCTTTCAGATCCCTGTTGCGATCAAGGCGGAGCTCCGTTCATACCAGCAAGAGGGTGTTAACTGGCTCGCTTTCCTTAATCGATACCATCTCCATGGAATCCTCTGCGATGACATGGGTCTTGGTAAGACGCTTCAAACTCTCTGTATCGTGGCTAGTGATCACCATATGAGATCCGAAGAATTCGCTCGGACAGGCGCACCTGAAGCACGGAGATTGCCCTCGTTGATAATCTGTCCACCAACCCTTTCTGGGCATTGGCAGCAGGAAATAAAAACAGTATGCTCCTTTTCTTGTCCGTGGCTAAGCATATATGAAGGGGG